TTCTTTCCACATCATAATGTCCTACGATTACCATAATTTTCTAGGTAAATTCTAAGAGAAAATTCTCTTAGATTGTGATTATGATTGTCGTGTCCTTGCCGTGTAAACTATTGCCGTCCGCATCGAGTAACGTGTGCTGTGCGCGCCGCGCGTTTTTACAAGTAATTTTTAATAATTAATCAAAACACTGAAAGAATTTTCTCTTAGAATTTACCCTAAAAGTTATGGTAATTGTAAGAGAATATGGTATGGAAAGAATTTTATTAGAATTTCTCTGATTAATAATTATCACATTCAAAATAATAATATTTATCACAATAAAATATAAAATATATTTCATTAATTTTACTTTACGGTTTAGTAAAATTAATAAAACATGTTTCATATTTTATTGTGATAGATATTATTATTTTGAATGTGATAAATATTAATTAGAGGAATTCTAATAAAATTTTTTCCATACAATATTATCCTACGATTACCACAATTTTCAGGGCAAATTCTAAGAGAAAATTCTCTCAGATTGTGATTATGTGTTGTAATTTGTAATCAGTTATTTATTACAATAATTTTTAATCAAGTGCGTGAGTCAAAGTGTCAATAGAATTTATTACAAAAAAATGATTTCATTATGCAGTGTGTCACAGTGTGTCAATATCGGATTGTATCCAGTCAGGCAACAATTATTCGTCAAAGGACATCAAACATCTCTACAAGGTAAGAATCAGTGAGAGAGAGAGAGAGAGTGTATACGCGTACACACACACGCACACACACACACACAAAACGCCGCATGTAACAAACAGCTGATCGCTTCGAGCGCCCACGTAATCGCCCGCGTCGGATAATGTGGTGCGCCGCTCCTGATTACCGCCCGGACTCGTGCTGTAATTCGCTAACTATTTCTTTTTATATTTCAAAAACTAAGCTTCGGATAAAATTTTGGCAAAGGAAAAATCGTCTTAGAATTGAGTCAGGAATACGACATTTTAAGGACAAACGATTGTTTTGAATCACCCTGTATATATATATATATATATATAAACAAAATTTAAAAAAAGGTTAATATTGTAGGCCAACTAAACGAGCAATTAAATAAGATCTATAGATTTATTAATAATTAAATAATTAAATTCTCATTCCGTTTGAGAAACAATATACAGCGTAAACGTTTCGACTGCACTACAGTCTTTTTCAATACATAAAAATCAAATATTAAAATACAAAGTTAAATATTAAAATACAAAGTTGGTTAAACATTAAAATACAAAGTTAAACGATTCTTCGCTGATGACCAATAGATGAGTAAGTCGATTGGTCTGAGATTCCAAGTTTTGCGACATTTAATCATGCTGTGGATATTTTACGCGAATTAAATTAATATCAGATAAAATTAAAGAATCTTTCAACTTACATTATCGTTTTAACAAGTTCTTCTTCTCGACATTTCAAGTATGTGTTGCGAAGTCTGAATAACAAATGTCAAGGTAGAGAGTGTGATGTATTTATTTATTACCAATGTTTTTTTTAAACTATGATTCAGCTAATTTTTTAAGTATGTCAAAATAGCTACTGTCTAGCAATTCGGTGTCTCTGTTTAAATTAATTCCATTTTTCTGTTCTTTAATGTGGATCATTTCAGATATTAGCCTTTTATGGTAATTCTTTTCATGATCCATAATCTTAGTGTTATCCCAGTCAAATGTATGCTGTTCATTTAGAATGTGTTCCGTGACAACCGAATGTTCAGCAGAGTCTAATTTAATATTATTTTTATGTTCTTTAAGTCTCGTTCCTAACTGTCTTTTTGTCTGTCCGACATATGTGGCGTCACAATCATTGCAATTTAATCTATAAATAACATTAGAGTTCGTGGGACAATCATTTCTGTCTTTTTGGACTCTTATGAAGTCATTCAATTTTTTAATGCAACGATATCCTACCACTACGTCAGGTCTTCTTATTGCTGAAGCGACTTTATCAGAAATTGATTCTATATATGGTATGACAAAATATTTAATGTTCGTATTTGTGTTATTTCTTGTGTATCTATTATATTGTTGTTGTTAGACTTGTTAAATTTTTTCGTTGAAAGATTTTTCAATCTGCGTTTTATTTCTATGAAAATTAGGTCAAGAGGATAACCATTGGATAGCAAAATATTAATAGTTTTCTCTATATTTTTTTTGTGAAATTGAGAATGTGATAGCAATATAGCTCTATCTACCAAGCTATAAATTGTTTCTATTTTATGACAAGTCGGATGATTTGAAAAAAATGAGAGTAATCTACCTGAGAATGTCTTTTTGTGATACCAATCTAAATAAATTTTGTTATCTATTACTTTGATCATTATGTCTAAAAAGCTTATACACCGATTATCCTCTTTTTCTAATGTAAATTTTAGTCTATCGTTATAATTGTTGAATTCGTTCAAAACATATGTAATATTGTCAACGGAAGTGCATAAAATAATGTCATCTACGAAACGGAAATAAAAAGTCAGTTCGCAATTTAAATTACTAATTACCAATGTTTCCAAGTCCTGCATGACTAATCGGCAATGATCGGAGAAAGTGGGGAGCCCATAGAAGTCTCATAAACTTGTTTATAAGTTATGTTATTGAAAGTAAAAAATGTAGAAGTTAATATAAATTTCATCATACTTATGAAATCATTTTTGGGAATCTTAGTGTATGACTCTATAATCCACATTAAAGAACAGAAAAATGGAATTAATTTAAACAGAGACACCGAATTGGTAGACAGTAGCTATTTTGACATACTTAAAAAATTAGCTGAATCATAGTTTAAAAAAAACATTGGTAATAAATAAATACATCACACTCTCTACCTTGACATTTGTTATTCAGACTTCGCAACACACACTTGAAATGTCGAGAAGAAGAACTTGTTAAAACGATAATGTAAGTTGAAAGATTCTTTAATTTTATCTGATATTAATTTAATTCGCGTAAAATATCCACAGCATGATTAAATGTCGCAAAACTTGGAATCTCGGACCAATCGGTTTACTCATCTATTGGTCATCAGCGAAGAATCGTTTAACTTTGTATTTTAATGTTTAACCAACTTTGTATTTTAATATTTAACTTTGTATTTTAATATTTGATTTTTATGTATTGAAAAAGACTGTAGTGCAGTCGAAACGTTTACGCTGTATATTGTTTCTCAAACGGAATGAGAATTTAATTATTTAATTATTAATAAATCTATAGATCTTATTTAATTGCTCGTTTAGTTGGCCTACAATATTAACCTTTTTTTAAATTTTGTTTATATATATATATATATATATATCATTCACATGTGTGTATGAATATAATTACTTATCATTCACATGTGTGTATGAATATATTTACTGAGCATTCACATGTGTGTATATAAATATATTTATTGAGTGCTCTAACATAGTTTGGACACAATAATATTATATATATATTTGTTTTTTTGCTTATATATTTACATGCAATTCTTATATATATGATATATATATATATATATATATATATTATATATATAAAAATTGCATGTAAATATATAAGCAAAAAACAAATATATACGAGGTGTGTTCAAAAAGTATCGCGAATTTTGTGTTTTTTCAAAAATTATTTATTTATTCATGAATATCTATTTTGTCCCCTTCAAAGTAATCCCCACCAGATATTATACACTTGTGCCAACGTTTTTTCCAATCCTCGAAGCACTTCAAAAAATCATTTTTTGTGATCTTGTTCAGCTCCTCCTTCGATGCCGTCTTTATCTCCTCAATCGTAGCGTAGCGTCGTCCTTTCATGGGCCTCTTCAGTTTCGGGAACAAGAAAAAGTCACAGAGGGCCAGATCTGGGGAATACGGTGGCTGCGGCATTATTAGTGTGTTGTTAATGCGATGCTGTTTTTGGTCGAAATTGAGCAATTTTGGTACGAATTTCGCGGCGACCCGTGTCATGCCCAAATCATTGGTAAAAATCGAATGGCACGAGCCAATCGATATGTTTAGGTCCTCAGCAACTTCTCTAACGGTGATTCGACGATTGACCAATACTATTTTCTTCACTTCATCAATGTTTTCGTCTGTGGTTGACGTGCTCGGGCGTCCGGCACGCTCTTCGTCGTTCACATCTTCTCGGCCCTCGGAAAACATTTTGTACCACCGATAAACGTTGCTTCGGTCCAAGGTAGCTTTACCATATGCCACAGTCAACATTCGGAATGCGTCCGCGCACTTAATTTTGTTTTTCACACAAAATTTGATACAGATTCTTTGATCCATTTTTTGGAATAGGCAAAAATCGAAGACGAGCCAAAACACGTGCAAGCAAAGCAGCTGTCAAAAATTAACTGAACATTCAAAATGGCCGTACTTGTCGGCATAAATGAGAAACATGAGTACCAACATAACGCCACAAAAAAATCGAAAATCGAATATACGTAACCCGCGGAAATTCAAAATTCGCGATACTTTTTGAACACATATATATAATATTATTGTGTCCAAACTATTGTATGTGATAAAGATAGACACAATTATGTATGTATGTTTTACTGTCATTGACACGCTTAGATAAAAACGCGTGTGCGAGATGATTCAACAGTAAAAATATATTATGTTGTCTAAAAAATATAATATGTTGAACACAATAAAGTTGTTTCTTTTGACATGCATGTAAATTTTTAATATATGGAAACTGCCGATAATAGTGAAATCAAAATTTTCGGTAATTATCGACAATTTTAGTTTTGCTTAGATGAGAGCGCTAACCCGTCGGAATTCGGCCAACGCTTCGGCTACGAGATATACACGGAACCGAAATTGCCTAAAGTGTAAGCAAAGCAGAAGGACTTTAAATTTACTTTGCTTGCATCTAGGTTCTCGATCGAGAGAGTCCGTTGCCAGGCACCCCTTCCGATCAAGGAACCTTCCAAAAAGCGATACTATATAAACCGAGTAGTCGCAGTCACAGAGGCAGTCGCTTATCAAGAACGCTAGAGTCACACACGTAGTTCGCGGATTAAATAAATATATACGTGTTATCGCTATTGCGAGACTATCTTAAGTAACTTACATTATTACGTATAACATTGCTAAAATAAACCAACAACAAGTGTTCAATTAAAAATTAAGGTTCTTTAATAAAAGTGCAAAGTGACGTAATTAAATACATCAATTCCGAGCCTATTCCTGCCGCCCCGGATTTCTATCCAAATTTGGCGCGACTCCTTGTGCCTGACCCGAGGCATGACAGTAATACAGGTTTAGCAACACATATAAATAATATCTAATATAATAATTTTTTCACTGGGCGCCCAGTGAAAGTAGAAACTTATACCAGTGGAAAATTAAAATTGCAAACATATATAAAGTCGTATAATAAACTAGTAAATTAATATAATAGTAAATTAATATAAAATAAAAAAAATAAAATTTTAGTTAAAAAAACTGAGCGCGCTACTAAGTTTCAAAATTACAATGCACCTTAAAGTTACATAAATTAATTTAACTACAAAATATATTTTAACTGCATTAAGTTTTAAAGTAACAAATAATTTAATTTTAATATTATTAGGATATTATTTAGCAGCGCGCCAAATTTTTTTAACTAAAATTTTATTTTTTTTATTTTATATTAATTTACTATTATATTAATTTACTAGTTCATTATACGACTTTATATATGTTTGCAATTTTCATTTTCTACTGATACAAGCTTCTACTTTCACTGAGCGCAATTTTTTTTATATCATTACTTTTGTAGTAAGATTCTGTTGGCGCAGGATAAAGAAAAGCACGAGATTGGTTTCAGAATTAAACAATAGTCCGATTATAGTTAACAAAACCTTTTATTCAGTCAGTTTCTGATACGTGTTTATGTTGCGACGGCTCTCGGAGCAGTGAAACGTTTAATCGAGAGTCACGACGGGGAAAACCAAAAGACGCGTCAGCACGGACAATCGAGTAAACACAAATTGTGCCTAAAACGCGCGAAGATCGAATAATATATAATGTATAATATGATGCAATATAATAATAGGAACAATAATAGAGTGTAATGCAATAATGAGAGATGCAAATCTCAACACGCCCTACTCGATCCAAGCGCGATCGAAAATCACAAAATCTCATCATGCATACACATCATATCCTTCTTAATCCTAATGACTCTACACATAGATAGTGTTTTGGTTTTGGTAAAGTTTTTGTAAAAACGTCGGCTACCATCTCACAATCAGCCGTCGGTATCGACTTTAATGCAAAGATCCCGTCTTTAACAGATTGTCAAATATAATGATGTCAAATGTCTATATGCTTCATCCGAGCATGGTAAACCGGATTCTCCGTCAAAATTTGTGCGCCACGGTTATCGCAGTAAATTGTAATTCTTTTAAGTCCCGGATCTCCGAGTTCGTGTAGTAGGTAGGCGGCTTCTTTTGCTGCCTCCGCAAGTGCCATATATTCGGCCTCGGTCGACGACAGGGCAACTGTCCGTTGTTTTTGGGTCTTCCAGCTCACAGTTGCTCCACTCAAAATAAAAGAGTAGCCGGTGTATGACCTCCTGTCAATCGTGCAATTACCTCAGTCTGCATTCCAATATCCGATCAGTCCATTGTTAGATTTTCTAAAACATAGACCAAAATTAGAGGTGCCTTGTAGGTAGCGCAATACGCGTTTTGCAATCCCCCATTGTTCTTGCGTAAAGCATTTATTAAATTGCGCAAGATAATATGCGCAATATCTGGCCGCATAGCAATGGCCAAATACATCAACATCAAAGCCCCGACAAGCTAACGATAAGGCAGAGTCGAATCCTTACTCTCCTTACTCGTATGAGTTTTTATTTTATCTGCCACTCGTGCTTTAACTTCTCCAGGCGTGGATATCGGATTGCAAAGCTTCATATTAAAACGCTTAATGATTTCCTGAATGTATCCTTGCTGGTTGAGCAAAATCATGCCTTTCTCCTGGTCAATCTAAATCCCTACGCAATATCGTGCAAGGCCAAGTTCCTTAACATCAAACTCTTTGGCTAGGCCGTGACAGAATTTTTTGATCCATGTTTCATCCTGTGAACATATCAAAATATCGTCAACATAAATTAATACAATCAATCTTGTTTCGCCACGTCTCAGATTGTATAAACACGGATCGGCGTTGGTAAGAGTTAATCCTTGATTCCGGATGACAGCATCCAATCTCCATTGGTGTGCCATTGGCGTCCAGCTTGTTTGAGGCCGTAAAGCTCCTTCTTCAAGAGACAAACTTTGTTTTCGTCTCGAGCGTCGTGTAACATCTTTGCCGCTTTGGTTCCGGAAGCACTGTTCTCGCCATCCGCCGAACTATCTCCGAAAAAATCTTCTCAAGTGCTTCTGGTTTTTCCATAAACACTTCTTTGTCCAGAGAGCCATTTAGATATGCAGTTACAATATCTAGTTGATGAATCCTCATCCTATGACGTACGACCAGTGCCATCATCAATCGCATAGATTCCAATCTCGCTACCGGCACGTATGTCTGCATAAAGTCAATGCCTGGTTGTTGCAAAGACCCACGAGTAACAAGTCGAGCCTTCCGCCGGTTCAATGTTCTATCCGGCTTCAATTTCGTGGTTAGTACCAAGCGACAACCAATTACAGTTCGATCGTTTAGTCGTTCGACCAATTTCCAGGTATGTTGTGCAAGAATGTTTTTAAATTCGGTCATCATCGCGTTCATCCAGTTATCCGCCAATATATATATATATATATATATATATATATATTTATATCTGTATTTAAAACTTTATATATTGCTAACAAAAGTAAATATTATGTCATATACTATATCTTTTTTCATAATAATATTGTTTTTCAAATGAGAATTAGTTTGATTATATACAAAAATGAATGATATAATTTCTAAAAACTTACCTTTAAAAAAAGGTAATATATATATAAAACACTATTATAATCTATTTTCTTGTTACGCAATCATCCTATTATTTTTTCATAAAAATATAATTGTTATCTTATGAAAAAATAATAGGATGATTGCGTAACAAGAAAATAGATATTATTATATGAAAAAATATTTTCATAATACTATAATCACTTATATGTACAGTATTGCATATCACATATTTAGTATATCACAAACATATTCTTTCATAAATATATATTTATATAATGATATTTGCAACTTTTTGATATTTGTTACTTTTATTATGTTACGTTATCATTTTGTACTATTTCTTTCATAATAATGTTCTGCAACGCTACCATCGTACTACATCTTTCATAAATATATAAGTCATTATTATTGGTAAAGATCGCTTTCTTATTTTACATCAATAAATATGTATTTATAAAAAAGAAAGTGTAGCAAGAAAGTAGTTATTATTATAAAAGAAATAATTTAAAATGGTAACGTACGAAGAAAGTATTAGCAAATATCAAAATATAAATATGCATTTAGATACTTACTTAAATACATGTGATATGCAATACTATATAATATGTAATATACTATATTTTTTTAATAATAATAATATAATCCATTTACTTGTTACGCAATCATTCTATTATTTTTTTATAAGAATATAATTGTTAATCTTATGAAAAAATAATAGAATACTTGCGTAACAAGAAAATAGATATTATTATATGAAAAAATATAATATATTATAAATAAATATTAAAACACGTACCTGTTATGTGTGTACATACACGTCAAGAAATCAAATCAAGTACATAACCCCGCCGTCAACGTGTATTAGGTACATAACTCCTCACGTTGTCAAGATCGCAGAGCACTAATGCCATCTGTTGTGGAACGTGAGAGTCGTACAAGACTACTACTACATATCTATTGCATGTGTTGTGTACATGTGATATATGTGTGCGCATGTGTTGTATACGTGTGAATACGTATAGCACGCTACTACTATGTGTGCGTGGACGATAATGACGATGACGGGGACGTTTCTTAAAAGAAATTTTTCATATTTAGACTTTGCATATAAATATTTCCGCTTACAAAGCACGTAGAGAAAAAATAAAGACACTTTTATTATATAAATCAAACTCAATCTATCGATTAAATCTAGCATAAACTCGATTGCTTCAGCCGTTATTGAGGATTCGAAATTTATAACAGACTCAAGTCTCCGCTTCGCGTAAAGATACACAGTGTGCCTCGCTCTTTTTATTTGGCTATGCCGCGAACTGGGCGCGAGACACTATCGTGTCTCTTAATTTATGAAATAGTGTTATTTTAATTGACACAAAATATACTGCTTCTTTAAATTATTGAAAATTAACATAAAACTATTTTGAAATATTTCGTGTTTATTAAAGACAGTCAAATTTGGTATACGTTTCGGCTGTCAGCAACCTTTCTCAATATAAATATAAAAAAAATAAATAATATAACAAATTGTAGTATAGAAATTAGTTATTAGTCTAAACATTAAACTTAAAATATGCGAACAAACGGTGTAAAAATTACATTTGCTCTGGTGTCGAGACTTTAGGACTATTTTGTTTAATGCTTACGGTGTTAATAATGTACAAGACAAAGATAGTTAGAAATTATATACAACGTGATATAAATTACATAAGAAATAATGAAAATATAAAATTGTTAACCTTTAATAAAAAAATACGTAAATATTATTATCGCTCATATCAATGGTAAAATTTGAGATTGTATAAAAAGGACAACTGACGAGCTTAAAATTATTAAAAATTCACTAATTTATTTTAATTTTAAAAGATCACATAAAAGTTATAAATATAATCCAATTATTTTAATTGACACTACGATCAAAATTATAATTTAGAAGTACAATCATTAAACATATTTAATGTTCTATCTCTCTAATTTACTTATAAATTAAAATAAAATAAATTTTAAATTACAAACGTTTTGACTGTACGCAGTCTTCTTCAGTGTAAATTAACATATTGGCTAATACGGAAATAAATGATACCGTGAGAATACATTCATTAAGACACAATGATAATGTGTTGTGTAATGACAATATAGATAAAATTAACTTATTTAAACGTTATGACAATAGTCAAATGTTTCCATGTTTAAATACAATCCAGAAAAATATTTTTGACCACATTCACTTCTTAGGATATATATGGAGGAAAGAATTCTCTTCTGATTCCATCGTTGAAAAGCGTGGAATTATTCGAGATCCTTATTATTTATGATCCCCTCTATAGAATGGAACTTTGTTAAGGTGATGACCATCATAATTTACATTCAAACAAATATAATAAAAACGTGTCTACTTACATTAAATTTTGAAATTGTCAATGTTAATTGTTCCGAACCATTTCATCTCTAAGTACATTGTGGAAAGATAGAACTCAACCAAGTATTTATACCGGGTCATCGAAAAGTATCGAACCCCCCCTAATATCTTTAGTTAGAATGCATTTTAGAGAAAATGTCCAATAGCAAAGTTGTATGGTTTCAAGCGGAGAGTAAGATGAATGACCTTGACTTTGACCTTGACCATGTCCTTCAAGATCATTTCAAGGTCAACCTAATTTTTGTAAATGGAACCCCCTATATTTTCAGATAATAATCCTTAAGGTTCGCCAGTAATATTAATAAAAATCTTTCTTCAATGGTAAAAGTCGACCAAACTGGCAATCATTTATTATAGATAATTAGTTAAAATACAACGTTTCGGCTGTCATTGCAGCCCTTTTCAAGTAAATCAAAAGTAAATGCAAAATAAATTAATACAGTAAATCAAATTTACTGCATACCTCCAACAACATTCACCATTGTTTTAATGAACAATGTAAAATTGGCAGAAGTAACCAAGAAATAAATAGATGTTAACAGTTAGCAAGAATCTTAGTCACTACCAAGGTAGTACTACGGAGGTATGCAGTGAATTTGATTTACTGTATTAATTTATTTTGCATTTACTTTTGATTTACTTGAAAAGGGCTGCAATGACAGCCAAAACGTTGTATTTTAACTAATTATCTATAATAAATGATTGCCAGTTTGGTCGACTTTTACCATTGAGGAAAGACCCCTATATTTTATTGCATATTTTTATAGCTTATCTCGAGAGCTTTCCAAAACACTATAATAAAACATTTTTTTATTAAGTACTAATGTATTTTCTTTAAACCAATTAATTGGTCTCATTATTCCGCGCACAAAAGTATTAAGGTTATGATTACTGAAAACTACATTTTACAAGATATTTTACATTTTGTGTCAAAAACTTGTTAACTTCAAACCTGTATAATTCAAAAAATACTTGTCAAAGTCAAAGTCATCATCTTACTCCCCGCTTGAAACCATACAACTTTGCTATTGGACATTTTCTCCAAAATGCATTCTAACTGATAATGTTAAGATATTAAATTACAAAACTAATTATCAAAAATGATTAATTTGAACTTTGACTGTTCATGATTAAAATTTGACTGTCTTTAATAAACACGAAATATTTCATATTACATCCAGATTTATTGCTCTTTAGCGGCTTTTTTACTGATTGTTTAAATATTTAATATTTATAAGAGCGTGAACTTAAATATAAAAATATTTTAACAAAAAATTGCATATATGCATCCTGTACAAAAGTGTACAAATAATTATACCAAAAATTGCACAAACTCAAAATTTAAAAAAACAATTATAAACATTTTATTAAAAACTCTTTTATAAAATTGTTTTAATTTCTTACATAAATAATGATATTAAAAAGTAACTCAAAATAAATAAAAATTTATGCTATATGTATACATAATAAAATAGTACTTTGATTCTGAAGTAGTGTTGATTTTACGAATAAAATAGAAAAATTAAGAAAGTTCTCAAATGAATCTAAGTTTTTAATGCATATTTTTTCATATAATCATATTTAATTGAGTTAATGAGTTCTAATAAAAAATTAGACAGTGATTATTAATTACATCTCATACGAATAAGACGAGAAAATTAAAAAATTTTAATAAAAGTCTTTTTTCTACTAATAGAAAATTGTCCATTATATTTTATTTTACTAACGAACGCACCAGTATAAAAAATTTAAATCTTGAGACAAAAGTCTCACAAATGACGATTGTGGATCTGAAACTATCATTGATGACATTAGAGGTTGAGGTTTTAAAAGTTAAAGCGGCCACATCAAACTTGATAGTGACATTGACCTTGACTTATGTAGAAGTCAAATTATAAATCATATAAAGGTCAATTTTATTTTTTAAAATAAAACCACTATATATATGTATATGTATTTATATTTTTTTACATAAGTCGATTTCACACACACACACACGCGCACACACACACACACGCCTACACGCACGCACACACACACACACACACACACACACACACACAATATTCTAAAATAATAAATAATTATAATGGTAAAATATTTAAAAAAAGTGAATAGTTTACGAGATATTTTATATTTTAGTTTAATATAATCTTACAAACACACTAAGCTATGAAATATCTTCTAAATAATGTTATCGCGCGTATATAAAAGTAGAGAAGACTTAGCTGATAATATAATATAGTTGTTTAGCGCAATAAGAATGACATCATCACTGTCGTGGATAACAGAACACTGCGAGCATTCACAATTAGGATACATAGTGCGATCAACAAGCGTCTTTTAATGTCACGACTATTACTGGTAAGCATTGCATCCTGAAAATAGAAGTAAGTTCAGTGCTTTCGTGCTAAGTCATCAATAAAGAGCTGTGCACAACCCCGTTCAAAATTGTATTCAAATAAATTTAACTTCCAAGGTACCAAAATTTAACTTGAAGCATCTAGTTTTTTATGCCGTGTGGCGATTTTAAAAAATGTTAAATAATGATCTTGGTTTTATCAGTTACATAAAAAATAGTATGTATTTTTTTATTTAAATATTTACTATTTCCTTAAAAATGAAGTACAAAAGTCATTTTTAATATAATTTGATCCAAATCTGAAGTGAGAAAAACAAAATATATATTTTTGCAAATAAATAATATTAGTTGTTATTGATATTTACTTCTAAAAAATAAAATTAATGTTATTATTTTTAAAACTATTTTTTTCTCTTTTTCCTACAATATTTTTGTGCTAGAATATTAACTATAATTATCGTATTCTGCACAATTACACATTTGGCAGTATCAACAATATTTTTAATATTTTATGAAAAACTTTTCTGCGTTTATACAGAATTAATATTATATGTTAATTATTTTTCAGCCCCAAATTTTACATTTTAAATAATAAACATTTGTTAAAGAAGGAGGGCCAATAAGGCCAATTTTTGGGTCCAAGTGTCGCATGTTTTTGATCACATATTTGTATAGTTGAAGTCGAGAGCTTTCCGAAACACTCTATGAAAAGCTTTTTACGTTGGGGAAAGTGAAAGTTATAAGTCATCAAAGTTAAAGAAACACACATATGCATGAAATAGACTGTCTTAATTTTGTGTGTGTGTGTCTGTGTGTGACAGACTGAAAATATATACATGTATTTGTTATTTTATCCTTCTCTTTTTAAATACGGGCTTGGAACCGCCAATGGCAGAATTACTTTTTTTTGTTTTTTAAAATAATTTATTTTTTTCTTTTTTGTATAGTTTTTTATTTATTTTGTTTTTTTCATCATAAATGTATTTTTTAGTGCATTTCTTGTGTTGAATTCGACGGCACTTAAGAGAAGTCACTGTTTGATGACTCTTCTTCATCTGTTCAACATGAAGAAGCATGTAAGTGATTTATGTGAAGAAGCATGTAAGTGATTCATGTGAAAATTTTCAATAGAAAAAAAGGGACATTTTTAAATAAATATAATTAGAAAGGCTATTTTAAATATAATTCAATCAAAGTAAAAAAAAGGCAATAAAAGCTAAATATAGGGAATTTATTTTGCTAAAGGATTGCATTTTCTCTCATTCTTGAATAATATATATCTCCAGTATGATTGTTTGTTTAGAAATTGATGTAACCTTTGACATACTTAATTGGCGTTATTATCGACTTTAGTACTGTTCGTTATGTCAAGGCATGATGACATAAACATAACTCGATATAATTTGATTATTTTGACATAAGTTAAATCTCTTCGACATAAACATAACTCGATATAATTTGATTATTTTGACATAAGTTAAATCTCTCCGAATCATAATTTATTCTCACATCTAAAAGACGAAATGCTGTAACTCCGAGTAAGTCTGTAAATTGTAATTCATGTTTCGTTCAATTAGCGTGGCTGATGTAACTATATCGGTTTTTTTAGGATATCACAATTGTATTTTTGATAAGGACCACAACCCGTATGGTCGAAACGTTAAAATAAACATATATTAACAACTCTAAATTGAAGCCAGTGTTGTCAGTTCAAATTTATAAGTATAATATATATCTCATTACTCTGTGTATAATTATTGTAATCATGTTCATCTATCAATTGTTTTCTCGATGAGCGATATATTCAGTATACTTATTGCGTCAATTTGTATCTTTAAAAGCTTGATGTTTTGTAACATGAAAAAATATATATATAAATATATATATATACATATATATATATATATATATATATATATATATATATATAATTAAACTAAACTTATATGTAAAAAAGAAACATTTAATTTAATTTTTGGCAAACAAACTCAGGAATAAAAATGTAAGAAATTTATTTAACAAATTAAATATTAATTTATATTTAGAAAAAATTATAATATTTAGAAAATTTATATTTATAAAAAAGTTTTATATAAATTTTATTTTAATCATTTTGTTATACATATTTAATTTGAATATTTATGTAAAAATTTTTAATAGGAAAAGAGGGATATTTTTAAATAAATAAAAATTATAAACTATTCTAAATATAATTAAATTAAAGTAAAAAAAATGACAATATAAAACAATAAAACAGGAAATTTATCACAATAAAATTTTACATTGTCACTTCTTGATTCATATTTATCTCATTACTCTGCATATATTTATTATAATCATATTCATACATCAGTGATGTTCTTTCGAGCGATATGTTCAGTACTTATTTATTTTTTGCATCTATTTGAATCTTTTAAGCTTGACGTTTTTAACATGAAAATATATACCATAGATATATACATATAATCAAACCTCGCCTACATTATTTTTATATTTACATAATTTAAATTAATAAACTGTATACGCGCCTTACTTACTGCACTCTTATTGTCATTTTTTTTTACTTCAATTTACTTTAATTATCTTTAAATAACTATAAACTTCTAAAAACTCTGTAAATAAATTGAAGTTGCCAGTGATGATTAAGAAACAAATAAATTTTATTCAAATTTCGATCCAACTGGCAAATTTACAAAATAATGTCGCCCTCCGTTACGGGCTCTTATCAAGTGTGTCTTTAATGATAAAAATTATATATAAACAATAAATTAAACGCCATTATATCTTACATAATTTGTACAAATTAAATAACTATCTGTTTAAAGCAAGATTACATTATAACACAAAACTAATATTCGCGATTGTACACCAAGGTGCTGACAAAAACGACGGCACAAAACAAAATAGTCGATGGGTAAAAATTCTTTCGTGTTTTATAATGTCTATTAGAGAGATATGTTATAAACATGATAATAAAACCAAGATAGTACCGTACAAAAACATATAAACAAATAACTAAGTAAAACAGAGTGATAAATAAATAATGATACACGAATATTTAAATGTAACTTATACTCTCTGTATCAACAAATCATATATCGGGTTTAATTTTTTAGTATCTTTTTGTAGGATAATATTATTATCAAACTTTTTGATGAAAAACATCTTCCGCAATAAGTCTCTTTAATAAACATTATAAAACACGAAAGAATTTTTATCCGTCTATTATTTCGTTTTGCGCCATCGTCTTTGTCAGCACCTTGATGTGCAATCGCGAATATTAGTTTTGTGTTATAATGTAATCTTGTTTTAAATAGGTAGTTATTTAATTTGTATAAATTATGTAAGATATAATAGCGTTTAATTTATTGTTTATATGTAATTTTTATCATTATAGACATACTTGATAAGGACCCGTAACGGAGAGCCGAAACGACGTGCATTATTTTGTAAATTTGCCAGTTGGGTCGAAATTTGAATAAAATTTATTTGTTTTATAAACTTCTAAATACAATTAAAAAATACATTCAAAAAAGCGCTTTTAAAACCACATAAAAAATATATCAAATATATAAAAATATATTTAAACTTGTATGTAAGAAATAAACATGTTCAATAAAATAATAAAAATTAATTGTTAATTGCCAGTAAAAATTAAAAAAATTAAGGTTGATATTAGTTTCGACCAAAACTGGCTTAAATTACAAATTTTTCTTTATTAGTTATAAACACTACGTTTCGATCTTTGAATTTTGATCTCTATCAAGTGCTACAAGTAATACAATATCATTGATTAATAGCTCAGTTGGAAGAGCAGCCGTCCGACAAGCGAAAGGTCTTGGGTTCAATTCCCAATTCAGCGACTTTGGATCTATATTTTTCTCTCGCATTTAATTATTTATTTCGATAAGGAGGTCAAAAAGTTTTTGAAATGAAATCTCAAGTAAGAGATTATTTTAATTTTCAAAGTCTTGGTTAGTACACCAAGAGTAATATGTGCCTTGTGCACGATTTGTTTCCATAGCAACATCCGAGTTTAGCCTTCACGCCTTCTTACGATTTAGATTTATATTTATATTACAGAGCCTGTTATTGAATCTTAATTATTTAATTTTATTTTTGGCAAACAAACTCAGGAATAAAAATGCAAGGGGTTCATTTAACAAAAAAATTAAATTTTAATTTATATTTAGAAATTGAAAAAGTTTTATATAAATTTTAATTTAATCTGTGATACAATAAAAGGCCAACTTAACGAGCTTATAAGATATTAATTAAAAAATTTTTTAATTATTTTACGTCATAATATAATGTTACAAAAGATAAACGTTTCGACTGTATGACAGTCTTTTTCAATATCATTATCTATATGCTACTGCTATCTATTTGTACTGCGTTCTTCACATTATAATTCCATAAATGTTGTATTTATAATAAGTTCGATATGACTAAATGATTTAATTCTTTGACATATTAGCATATAGATAATGATATTGAAAAAGACTGTCGTACAGTCGAAACGTTTATCATTTGTAATATTATATTATGACGTAAAACAATAAAAAATTTTTTAAATTAATATCTTATAAGCTCGTTAAGTTGGTCTTTTATTGTATCACATATTTTGCATACGAGCCGAAGTTTAATTTATAATATATATATTTAATTTAATCATTCGCTGATGCATATTTAATTTAAAGATTTATGTAAAAATTTTAATAGGAAAAGAGGGATATTTTTAAATAAATAAAAATTATATAGACCATTCTAAATATAATTAAATCAAAGTAAAAAAATGACAATAAGAGCTAATGACAAGATAATAAAACAGGAAATTTATCTCGATAAAATTTGACATTGTCACTTCTTGATTAACATATCTATCTCATTACTCTGCATATATTTATTATAATCATGTTCATACATCAGTGATGTTTTTTCGAGCGATATTATCAGTACTCATTTATTCTTTGCATCTATTTCAATCTTTTAACCTTAACGTTTTTAACATGAAAATATTTACCATAGATATATTTATATTCAAACTTCGCCTACATTATTTTTATATTTACATAATTTAAATTAATAAATTGTATGCGCGCCTTACTTACTGCACTCTTATAGTCATTTTTTACTTCAATTTACTTTGATTATCTCTAAATAACTATAAACTTCTAAATACAATTAAAAAATACATTAGAAAAAGCTTCTTTAAAACCAAATATATAAAAATATATTTAAACTTGTATGTAAGAAATAAACATGTTCAATAAAATAATAAAAATTAATTGTTAATCGCCAGTGAGAATTAAAAAATTAAGGTTGATATTAGTTTTGACCAAAACTGGCTTAAATTACAAATTTTTCTTTATTAGTTATTAAACATTACGTTTCGATCTTTGAATTTTGATCTCTATCAAGTGCTACAAGTAATACAATATCATTGATTAATGATATTGTATTACTTGTAGGACTTGATAAGAATCAAAATCCAATCGTCGAAACATAGTGTTTATAACTAATAAAGAACAATTTGTAATTTAAACTAATTTTGGTCGAAACAAATATTAATCTTAATTCGATAAAATAAGATGTTAAACACAATTTAAAAAAAAATTTCCTCAATGGTAAAAGTCGACCAAACTGGCAATCAATTATTATAAATAATTAGTTAAAATACAACGTTTCGGCTATCATTGCAGCCCTTTTCAAGTAAATCTATAAAAAGTTACATAAAAATAATTATAATTATAATACACTTTATTGCAACAAATAATTATAAATTCAAATACAAAAATATGTTACATACCAAACGTCAATGCATAATAAATTAATATAGTAAATCAAATTCACTGCCACCGACAATATTTACCATTGTTTTAATGAACAATGTAAAATTGACAGAAGTAAGCAAGAAATAAATAGATGTTAACAGTTAGCAAGGATT